CTGCCCCTCAGTTCACTGATGTTTCCTCTGCCCCCCGCGGACGGCTAAATGTCACTATTGCCCCCTACCAGTATGTCCTTGTCGCTCGTGATGAATTCTCTGGCTGGCCTGAGGCGGTGCCCTTACGAAGTATCAACTCTCTCTCCACAGCCGCTTTCTTCTACGATTTCATCATTGCTCGTTTTGGCGTTCCCCGTCGGGTCTACACTGACGGTGGTAGTGAGTTCAAGGGTGATTTTAAGCATCTCTGCGAAGATTTCCACATCAAGCAGGTTTTCACCACTCCTGCTCATGGTCAATCGACTGGCATTGTGGAACGCGGTCACCAAAACCTCCTCCACTGCCTGCGCAAATACGGTCGTCAGTGGATCTTATACCTCCACACCGCCCTCTGGGCTGACCGGTGCACCCGTCGTTCATCCACGGGTAAGTCACCTTTTGAGCTGATGTATGGTGTCTCTGGTGTCTTGCCTGTCGAAAGTCGTTTCCTGACCTGGAATTACCTCAGTGGCAAGACCGACCTGGCCCACAACGACCCCGCTCATGCTGCTTTTCTGCGCACCTTGCAACTTGCTGCTTCTACTTTCGAAGTTGGCTCTGCTCGTGACCACCTGACCCTGCAACGCCAGCGTCAAAAGGCGTTCTACGACAAACATCACAACACAGCTGATACAGATCCCTTGGCCGTAAATGATTTCGTTTTTGTTCACGACCTCCGTCCCCACAACAAGCTGACTCCTCGTTGGACTGGTCCCTCCATCGTGACCGCGTGTCACCCTGAGACCAGCACGTACACTGTCAACGATGTTGACGGTGAGAACCCGCGGCGTATCCACCGCAACCGCCTCAAGGTTTTCCACCCCGCTTCCATCGTTGAGTTCCAGGACCGCATGAAGGAACATCAGTCCCGCGAGTCTGCTCTCCCTGCCATTCCTGGCCGCTTTTCTGCCTGTTCTCCACATGTTCTTCCCCCGGCTTCAGTGGCTACTCGTTCCGTCCGTTCTGCAGCTACCACTGCGTCGACTAGAGTTACTTCTCGGTCGAAGCTCGCTCGTGTTGATTCTGGGCTTGCTCAGGGCTCCTTCCTTGCTCAGGGCCTTTATTCTTGATTCTTCTAACCAGGGCTTCGGGACGAAACCCCGTTAGACCTGGGCAGGTGTAACACTCGCTCTGGAGAGTTAGTCATCCGACAGGGTAACTCTAATCTCCCAACACCTTATTAACTCTGCGTAACTGTAACTCTTCTTGCCACGTCGATCTTACTCAATTTTCCTGCTCATCATCTGCTGGATTGTTGTCTATCGTCTGGCTCTAATACATTTATTGTTTATTGCCCAAACAACTTTCATTGCACGTAAGTGAATTGTTTTATAACAGCGTTCGCCAATTGCTGCGCCATCGTCGTCCGGCTGTCCTACCGTTAGGGGTAGTGTGTCTCACACTACCGAGGTTACTGGAGTTGGGAAAGCGATACTGCCTCGGACACACCACCTGGGTCTTACGACTGCAGAGAGAATCGGCGTTACCTCTCTCACAAAGCCCTTCAGTACCGCCGCCTGTCGGGAACCGCGTTCAGGTGGAACAGGACCACCTCCCTTGCACTTCTTGGTATATCAGTATAGGCTGATGTATTCATAGTGGGGTTTTTCATAATAAATTTACTAACGGCAGGCAACATTCACTCGGCTTAAACGCAAAACGGACCGTCTTGATATCTTCTGACGCATTGACCACCGAGAAATAGTGTTAGTTACCGGGTGAGTTATTGTTCTTCTACACAGGCGACGCCCATCGTCTAGAGTTGATGTACTAACTCAGATTTCACTACCTACCCTATCCCTGGTACGCACAAAGCACTTTATTTTCTCACATATGGGCACATACAGCAATGACGTAATACGATGTACCTACATAATTATTTGGAGGAAATTCAACTCCCGATTGGGAAGTTCATTCTTGCCTCCAATCAGCCAGGCACCATCAAAACAACGCAAAAGTGTCTACATACAGTATCGCACAAGTAGTGAGTCAGATATACATCCTTATCTGGCCAGAAACAGATAAATACTACTTGTAGATCTATGTACGAACATAACCACCAACACCAAGGTTATAAAATACGGACTATAGGTCTGGTGTGCAACAGACTTGAGTGTGAAACTTTCCCGCCCAACTCTACAGTGAGGCGGGAGCCGCCGCCTTCTAGAATAATTACTGCTGCTCTCTCTTGGGACTGCCCCTCGTGAGACACCAGCTGCCTAAGCTACGACAGCCGGACCGAAAATAAATAATTATGGAGGCCCATGCAGGGTATTGCTCTTGTGCGGCTACAGGTTCTTCATAACACTGGACTCCCCCCCAAACAACAGACAGAGACAAAGCTATGAAAAGTGCCACGCGCTAGTGGGTGTTTTAGACCCAAAATATCCCGGGAAAAATACCTCTGGACGCGTCAAGCTCTCGGGCAAAGACGGAGGCACAAGGTGTGTGTTTTCTTTTGGCCTTTTTGCATGCTATATACAAGAGCAAGTGGTTCAACATTATTTGCCACAGGACGATACCCGCGCACACACTGCTTTTTCTGCTCGTTTGCGTTAATAAATTAAATGCAATATGCGCTCACATGATTCATCCTAAACCAGGGTTTGTCCATCGCCACCCGACAATGTCTCATACAAACCCTCCAGAGTGGAGATAAAGACAATAGTATTCCTGCGGACAGTACAGTAAGTAGAGTGCAAAGGTGACACAACCAGCATGCTTAATAAGCGTCTAGACTGACCCGTCATACTTTCATGTCTTATCGGAATATTCCGAGGTTTTTCCGACTTGGGTAGGGGTTTCCGGAAAGGTTCACAAGCACTATTGGCCGCCTACTGTGATGGACTGTGTGAGATGTTGAAGAGCTTTACGGTCTCCGATATATACTGTACTCTTTACAAGTACAGTAGTCTGAAATAAGATGATGTACCTGTCGATTGACTCAGAGCCCCGTATACACGTACTGTACAACAGTATTTGAACTTGGAATAACTTGTTCCACGTAAGTTGGAACCATGAACGAGAATAGGGGGGTAACAAACAGCCGCTCGTACTACCCGCATTACCTACACGGGTCCGGGCCGTTGCCCATAATATCTACCCCTGGTATTCCTGCTAGCAATTACTCTACAGGACAGTGAATGTTGGTCGATGTTGCTGACACTGCGCCGCAGTGTCCAACCTCCAATTTCCCGTCCTGCAGTATAAGAACTGACTAAACAGCTACTTGTAGTCAGAACAAAGAACTAGAAATCAGTGGTTTTTTTGCTTCATCACATCTACAGTATTGGGGATACTTTGCGTTTGGGAAGACTTCTCTAGAAACTCCTTCCCCTGGTGATTTTATGTGAAAAGTCTGAACATTTCCACGACATATGAGGACGACAAAAATCGTAGTAAATCGAGGTATTTTTTCTTCTTAACAGAAATACGAGATGGAGAGTCTTTGAAAAGGAACCGTAGCTTTAAATTTGACCGCCATGCCTTTAGTTCTCTTAGACCAGGGCTACTCCATTGTTTCGTTACAAGCAGTTGAGACGTTGACAGATGCCAGACTCACTTGCAGAAGCTCACAGAGTGGATCGCGGAAGCTCACAAGGAGGTGCTGTCAAAAACACAATGAATCCAGACAAGGAGAATCATTTTGTTCATTATGTCAAATCTAACACAAGTGGTCTTGTCCCCTGTGTTATCTGAATTTCCAATATTTTTTAGACTATTTTCAAATTACATAGAGCATAATGATATGGAGTAAATTCTGGAGAAGCTGCTAATTACTGTAGTCATTGATACAAGGGCACAAGTACAGTACAGTACGCAAAAGTGACAGTTAACAGCTAAATTATTAAGAACATGGCAACAATACCCATTGTCGTGTCTTACTCGAACACTGTACCGCGGTAGACTGCATGTGATTCAACTTCTTACCAAAAGGAACAGGCCAAGCTCCATCAGAAACAGTACTTTCGATCATTAACTGATCGCAAAAAAAGCATGGTACTTCGAAAACTTCCGATACGCTCCATCAGCCTCAGTAAGTCGTGATGTTTACAGCACAGTACATCTCAATTCTGTAGCCGACGCCTCAGACCTTCCCCAACACTTACTAAGCATATCAATATCTAAAGTCTAGAACCTCCAATATCTATCCAAGTTTCTAAAAAAGGGAATGTGGAGAGTTCCTGAACTTGTCTTTTAGATCAGTCAATACCACATACAGTACTTGTACCATGTGGACTCGCACTACTTGTAGAGCGTTAGTGTATTGGTTTGCGGACCGAGTTTTGCCCATAATACCATAACCACCCATTTCATTCCATAGTAGAACAGTTATGAGCATGACAGCAGTTGCTAACGGTTGATTTTGCGACTTCTAGATGATATATTATTCAGAATCTGATCTCGTATACCTCGTCTCAACCATCACAGCTGCGTCAGAGATGTGGGGAAGACGGATTCCGGAGACGCTAAGGCACTAAAAAGCAGACTAAAGACCAATCAGTGAGAATAGTAGAGTCGTCCATAGAGGGTCTTGAAATCATTTCTCTCTTATATACTTTTCGAAATACAAAACTACAAACCCCAACTCTCCATGAACCTCCACAGTATCGTCCTCAGCTCTCTGATAGCCTCAGCGTGGGCAAGAGATCCGCCGCCGACGCACTCAACAATCAAAGACACTCTGGCGTCATACATCCCATACTATCAGAAGGAGCCACAGACGTGGATGCAACAGAAATTGGCCTCTGTAGGAAACACGCACAGCAATGCCCCACGGAGTCAAGGTTCTTTGATTCTCATTATTGTCATTCCCTTGTTTTGGTGAAGTCGGAGTGCTGGTAAAGTCCTGAACGCTGGGAGAGTTCTCCCTCTTCCTTTCTCTTGTCGATATTTGGTTCATTCACTACATAGCTTATTACATTCGTTTTCAATGTGGTAGCCCGTAAGTGTAATCCGGCTTACTGTCCCTTGAGCAGCTCGGCTTTTCTGTTAGCAATGATCACGTCCACGTCTCTGAGAACGTCCTGTCGGAATCCCAGGAACGAGGCAATCTCAAACAGCACAAAGAAGGGTGCCAGAACCAGAGCTTGTCGCAGATTGTCCAGCAGTGCGGGGGCTCGCTTCTCGTGGGCGCCGTGTCCGTAGAACTGGGCCAGCCAGGAGAACACAAACAGGATGCCGGCCAACATATTGACCGAGCCAGACTCAGGGCCCCAGGTGAGTCGGGGGAAGTAGGCGCAAGCGGGCAGCAGAATGGAGGCGGCCAGCAGTCCAAAGGGAGGGTCCAGCCGGAGGTACACGTAGTTCATGTAGATGGCTGAAATCATACCCCAATTGAGCTGGCTGAGCACCCAAGGGTTTGAGGGCAGAGGAGCACCGATTTTAGAAAGAAATGGTACCACCGAGAGGTTGGTCAGCAGCAGGTATGTGGTGAGCAGAATGATGGGCACGCAGATGACATGGATGACCACATTGACGGGGTTGCCTTTGTTAGTTTATATATTTTGTACAGTGTGGTGATTGATATTGATTGATGTTGGTTGATGTCGATTGATACTGATTGATGAGTTCTGTTTGTATTCCACTGTGTTCCGACTCGTTTTGCTTGCGCCCCTCCTACTCACTGTGATAAGCCCGGTAAAAGGCGAGCTGGTTTTTGAGGTCGTAGGCTCCGACCTTGGCGGGTTTGGTCGTCATGGTTGTCTTTGAGTTGTGAGTGAATGCCAGTGATGTGAATCAAGCAATGCTGGTGTTTAGCTTTGGCCTGCCTGTTCCATATTAATAGCGTCAATTGTAGCGATCATCATGTGGTGTGGGGAATAGAGTTTGGAAACCCCTCACCCCATATTTTGGGGGGACGATTGGTGAGGTGGCTATCTGCATGTTTTCGTGGAAGCTGTGACTACAGTACTACAAGTAGTAAGCGGTGTGATCAATTCATTTGGTTGGCTGATATAGTACTCTCATCAAAGTAATCTGGCAGAGATTTTCCAGCGCACGCTACTGGTCAATCGCTCAACCAGGTCCCGCTGGATACACACATCCTGATTGAGACATCGGCGATAGTCTTAACTCCACCCTCCACCACCCTCTCTGTCAGACCTTTAATTAGCAGCAAATGCCTGGGTTGAGGAGGGGCTTGTGAGCCTCGGTAGAGACATGCAGTTGAAAAACTGCTCTTGTGGTCGGTGTCATAGACAGAGACGACTCATTGACTAAAGTATGTACTGTATGTACAGTAGCGCCTCTTGCAACGCAACTTACTCTTTCCTGTCGGCGGTTCCACTACGAGTACTTGTAGCTACAAGTACTGTGACTATTATAGAACATGTCCAGTAATATGGCTACACTTTGGGCTGACACATTTCCCTGCAATAGACTTCCACTGAAAGTCGGCGGGCGTTCTGGACTGAGATTTCCCTCTCAGATTCTCATATGCAGGAAGCAAGCATTTGCCACCGGCCATTGTAGCAGCTCCAGCCACGTGACTGAGCCTGTTGAAGTCGAAATCCAACAGAAAATCTCAAACAATTTCCGCTGGAATGGCCCCAGAGCCGAATATTACTGCTATCGAATGCTAGACCGCCTATTTCCAACGCCCCCAATATAGACTTCGATGCACCCCACTCAATTTGCGCAGACACGAGACTGGACGTGATTGTTGTTCCTGAAAGAATTAGGCAACGTTATCGAGGTTTGGATTTCGGCGTGGAAATATTTATAACGACTCTAGAGAAATGAGCATAGCAGCTGGGATATAGATAACAGAGAGATTATCTATTTAGATACCTGATATACATTTATTTTAAAATTCAGAACTTCTAATTAAGAATTTGTGTCAATAATGAGACCGTGAAATAAATCCATCTTCAATTAAAGTTGGTATTTGGGACCGTTTTGGGCGTGTTTTGTGGGGGGTGTTTTGGGGGCACGCGTCTTACGCATTCCTAACATAGCAGGATCTTGGGTCCAAAGACCCCTTTGACCAGAAAATCCTCACATACTTGTACTCGCAGTTGAATGTGTACAATGAGGATGAAACCAAGAATACAAAGTCCCCCAAAACCAACCAGAAACCATCACTCACGCGTCTTGTGATGCATATTATTATGAGAGTGGGTGCCTGGCATCTGACAAGGAGTGAGAGCTGATTTCGTGTTACAACTTAGGCCCATCTACTATCTAAACACATATATACCCTCTAAAATATAACAAGTCAAACAATAAATACTTTTATCTATATACAAGGAATCCCTTAGTCAACCTCCTCAACAGTGGGACCCTCGCCGCCACCAGGAGCGGCTCCAGAACCAGGCATACCTCCTCCGGGCATTCCACCGGGAGCACCACCCTCAGCTCCGTAGAACTTCATCAGAATGGGGTTGGCAATGCCCTCGAGCTCCTTCTGCTTATCGGAGTACTCCTCAGTAGCACCGGATTGAGTGGCATCAAGGAACTCAATGGTCTCGTTGATGGCCTTCTCAAGCTTCTCACGCTCAGCCTCGTCAACCTTCTCCTTGAACTTCTCCTCGGAGAAAGTGTTCTTGAGAGAGTAGGTGTAAGACTCGAGGCCGTTCTTGGCGGCAATTCGAGCAGCCTCCTTCTCATCCTCGTCCTTGTACTTCTCAGCGTCGTTCACCATTCGCTCAATTTCCTCCTTGGAAAGTCGGCCCTTGTCGTTGGTGATAGTGATTTGCTGAGTCTTACCAGTACCCTTCTCAACAGCGGAGACGTTGAGAATACCGTTGGCGTCAACATCGAAGGTGACTTCGATCTGAGGAACACCTCGAGGAGCGGGAGGAATACCGGACAGCTCAAACTTACCAAGGATGTTGTTGTCCTTGGTCTGAGCTCGCTCACCCTCAAAGACCTGAATCAGAACGCCAGGCTGGTTGTCAGCGTAGGTGGAGAAGGTCTCGGACTTCTTGGTGGGGATAGTAGAGTTTCGGGGGATGAGCTTGGTCATAACACCGCCAGCAGTCTCGATTCCCAGAGACAGCGGAGCAACATCGAGGAGCAGAATATCCTGAGTGGAAGAGGAAGTGTCACCAGAAAGGATGGCAGCCTGGACGGCAGCACCGTAGGCAACAGCCTCATCAGGGTTGATAGATCGATTCAGCTCCTTTCCGTTGAAGAAGTCAGAAACGAGCTTCTGCACCTTGGGGATTCGAGTGGAGCCACCAACAAGGACAATCTCGTTGACCGAGGCCTTGTCCATCTTAGCGTCCTTCAGGACCTTCTCAACTGGCTCGAGAGTGCCTCGGAAGAGATCCTGACAGAGTTCCTCGAATCGGGCTCGGGTGATGGAGGTGTAGAAATCAATACCCTCGTAGAGAGAGTCGATCTCAATGGATGTTTGAGCGGAAGACGAAAGGGTTCGCTTAGCTCGCTCGCAAGCGGTTCGCAGTCGTCGGAGAGCTCGCTGGTTGGTGGAGATGTCCTTCTTGTGCTTTCGCTTGAACTCCTGAACAAAGTGGTTCACGAGTCGGTTGTCAAAGTCCTCACCACCGAGATGGGTATCTCCAGCGGTGGCCTTGACCTCAAAGATGCCGTCTTCGATAGACAGAAGAGAAACATCAAAAGTTCCTCCTCCAAGATCGAAAATGAGCACGTTTCGCTCGCCAGTCTCCTTCTTATCGAGACCGTAGGCAATGGCGGCAGCGGTAGGCTCGTTGATAATTCTCTGAACATTCAGACCAGCAATAAGACCTGCGTCCTTGGTGGCCTGTCGCTGAGAATCATTGAAGTATGCGGGAACGGTAATGACAGCGTCGTTCACCTTTGTTCCAAGGTATCCCTCAGCAGTTTCCTTCATCTTGGTGAGGATCATGGAAGAGATCTCTTCGGGGGTGAAGACCTTGGTTTCGCCCTTGAATTCGACCTCGATGTTTGGCTTTCCAGCCTTATCGATAATCTTGAAGGGGAAGTGCTTGGCGTCGTTCTGGACCTCAGGGTCGTCGAATTTTCGGCCAATCAGTCGCTTGGCGTCAAATACTGTGTTTGCAGGGTTCATGGCAGCCTGGTTCTTGGCAGCATCACCAATGAGTCGTTCAGTGTCGGTAAAGGCCACAAACGAGGGAGTGGTTCTGTTTCCCTGGTCATTGGCGATGATTTCGACTCTGTCATTGGCGAAATGAGCCACACAGGAGTATGTGGTTCCAAGATCGATTCCTACTGCTTTAGACATGTTGTTGTAATGTGTTTCTTTCGTGTTGTGTTTTTTTTTTTTTTTTTTTTTTTTGATGGCCCATTTTCTGTGGAAGACACCCGACTTTAATAGTGTCCTGTGCATGCTACCTGCACGGTTCGTGATCTTTCTCGAAGGTGAGGGAATGTGGGATAAGAGATAATATGGAACCTTAACTTTATCTGTAGAACAACCTGGAAACTTCTGGAAGACTGGAGAAATTCGTTGAAATTCGGGTAAATTCCAGATTATTCTAGAAAAAATTGAAACTGCAAAACTTCAAGTGTATCAACTGTCAGCCATGATAAACAACCGGTATAGCAGCCCCTGTGTGGTTTTGTGGCGAGTGTTGAAGACCACTGTGAAAGGTATAGTGTACATGTATACTATAGCTATCGACACCAAAGAAGGTAACTGGTACCAGTACAAGTAGCAACATCAACAGAACTCCACTCTCTGAGGGTCGAGAGGTTGGAGGACAGGTTGAGATCAGTAGAAAGATATGGAGCGAACATTCATCCTAAATGATGAAGAGTGGTCAGATACAGCCTAAGTCTTAGCAGTGTCAAGGACTGATGGTGAGTGGACACCTAGCATAGAATCGAGAGAGATTACGTATTAATAATTTCATCCAGCATAGATTATAGCGCTACTCACGTAGTACAGTACTGGGTAAATGGTCGTACTTTTCGATACAGTACAGTCAATGTACATACATCATAACACACCAAACACAAACCTCCCTGTCCTCCTCCTTATCCGAAAGAGACAGATGTTAGGAAGGAAGGTGGAACCTACGGTTCAGATGGTTCTAAGAAGCCAACAACACAGCTCTGCAGTCTGCTACTGACTCTCACGCCCAATGTTACGGTACATACGTGGGCTCGTGGTGAGCAAGGTTGCGGAAAGTGCCCAACGGCGGGTCACAGGAGTCCTTGTTTGCACAGTACAGTATGTACAGTATGTACGTACAGGTGTACGGTGATAAAAGAGATTAAGAGATTTCAGAGAGGATAAATGAGATCCGATCTAGGGCAGATAGGAAATATTGTTTATTAATTTATATCTTATCATAATTTTTATTTGATTGCAATTGTTTTGTTTAATTCCTTTCTGATTATATAGACCGTATGGCCCTGCTTGGGTCTTCTCTTTATGAGTTCTCCACCTATTGCTCGATGCAACCGTAGGTAATACCGTCATACCTTGATCGATGCTATGAGAGTTTCAGTAGAGAGCCAAGCACGGCAAAGAGAACTTTTTCATAGTAACGGAGACTCTCTTCCAGGCCCCCTTAGATTCCACTCATCGACAAACTCCACTAATGCTTCGTAATGATGTCCACTATTACCCCTCAACTCTGTGTCTATGTAAGGAAGGTCTGTATGTATTATACATCAGTGATGGTCCCTGGACGACAGCATTAACTTACATTCCCCTCGTGCACTCCAATTGCCCTGATTTAACCTCCTCCTTCAAGTTCGGTCATTGAGTTGCCTACAGAGCCCATTACCCCATTACTCGTACTTCTATTATCTTGCTGCAGTCAAGCATATGTTTTCAGGCACTGTCTCAGACGTTGTTCTCCACCCCATCCTTAGCTGAGGACATCGTATAATAGCTCCTTGGCAACATGTCAGTGATCGATCGTCCCTTTGTGCATGCTTTACTACCCACATCTGGGGTGGTATCGGAAACTTTGGTACAGATACTGTCTCCTAAGCAGGACAGACTCTCAATGACTTCCAGGTCTGGGTTTCAAAGGACAGAATAATGGGCGCCATTGGTATCTTTGGCCAGTCTGGCTATGATGACCCCACCAGCTCTGTTGTTCAGGGTCTTGCCGACTCTGGAAAGATATCCCGGGCTATCTACTCTCTCAAAGCTGAGAAGCCTATTTGGTGGCGGAGCAAGGCTACCGAGGGTGTTACCAACAACGTCTACTACGGAGGTTTTGACCGAGCCAAGTATGAGGGCCCCCTGACCACCATCAAATGTGGACATCATGGAGGTTACGCCATGCCTCTTGGTGGTCTATCCATCAAGGGAGAGAAGGTCCATACCGCGCGAGACCACCAGAATGTTCTGGACACTGGAGGGGTCGCTCTCATGCTGCCAGACAGCACCCTCAAGACCCTCTCCGAGAAAAGAGGTGGTAGTGGTGTCTGGGAGTCCCCAGGCTACTTCAAAATTGAGTGTGGCTCCAAGCCTGAGATCACCTACGAGTTCGGATACACAACGATTGATGTCGACTTGTCTACCTATGTTCGTGCCTCTCCCTACGGAGGCTGACGATTAAAGTGTGTCAACAATGCTGACGACAACACAGATTCTGCTTAACGGTCCCTCTCTTATCTCCAAGGCTCTGGTGATTTACGATAACACCCGAGATACCATCACCATCGTTAAGGCCAAATACACCGACGAGTCTGATGTTGTTGAAATTACTGGTGACATTCCTGGTACCGTCAAGTATGAGGACTGGGTCGCTGGAAAGCCTCTTGCTGTTGCCTCTTCTGCTCCTGCCTCTTCTAAGACTTCAACCATCCTAGCTTCTTCTTCTTCTTCTTCTTCTTCTTCTGTTGCTCCCAAGAGCTCTTCTGTTGCCCCTCCTTCTTCTTCTGCAGCTCCTCAGAGCTCTTCTGTGGTCCTCAAGCCCTCTTCTGCAGCCCCCACTACCTCCAAGGCTGCTCCTCAGAGCTCCACTCTGGTTGTCAAGACCACTTCTATCCAGCCCGAGCCTCAGCTCTCTCCTACTCAGGCCGAGCCCTCTCCTACCCAGCAACAGTGGTGCTCTTGGTTCGGCACCTTCTGTATCTCTTTTGACTCTTACGAAGCCACTTCATTTATTTTTTTGCTTCTATCTTCAAATATATTATATATTATCTTCAACCAATTCCAAGTAAAATAGTACATACTGAGTAACTTGAATGCAACCATAGCTGTTGCTTGATCTTTAAGTGAAAAGAAAAACAAACTGTGACACTGATTGTGATGTCTAAAGACATGAGTGCTGCCCACGTAGTTGTTGTAGCTACAACCGGAACTGCTTATCGTCAAAGCGTTCATTCATTACATATTTTTAATAGGCCCTGTTAGTGTCCACAGGTTACCAAGAAAAAGACTCCTCAAAGTAATCGACTCGATCGGTTTGAGACTCAATGTTATCACACATACTCTTTCTTGTGTCATCATTGAGAACGGGAGGGCCACAGACGACAATGGCTGTAGATCCCGGGCACTCGGAGAGATACTGAGGAAGCAGATCGGCCATGCACGGACGGAAGTGCTCGACATGAAGGTTCTCTCGCGTGGAAGAGGTAATGGAAAGCTTCTCGGGGGACTTAGATTCCAGCTCGCAAGCTTCCTCGGCCAGCTCCTCAGCCAGGCCTTCTTTCTTATCGACCTTAGTGATGTACAGATTGACCCTGACGCGGGGGTCGGCCAGCAGGTACTCGAGCTCGTCTCCGAACCACTCAAGACAAGAGTCTCCTCGAACAACCCAGGTGAAGATGATATTCTTACTGACCGAGTTTGCTACAACTCGCTGGGCATACGAGTAGGTTGCAGTGATACCAATTCCCCCAGCAATGTAGATGGAAGAGTCGTACTTGCCTACAGGGTGCTTGGATCCGTAGGGTCCCTCGATGAGCATCTTCATGGACCGTTTTCCTCCAGCTGATATCAGTCGGGTGGCCAGCTCGAATGTGATGCCGTCCTTGGCCTTGAGAAGCAGAGTCATGTTGCCCTTCTTGAGAGCTTCAGGAGACTGGTAGATTGTGAAGGGATGGGACTCCCAGAACTTGTTTCCGGACAGGAAGTAAATATAGACATGAGAGCCTGGGTAGACGGACCATAGTTTGGAGTAGGGAATTTCAGCCTTGATGATAAGCTGCTCTCGGTCGACCAGAGTGAAGTCACCCGTTAGAATTCCGCCACAGTAAACAATTCTGGCAATTCGAAGGATTCGATCAAATCCCCAGACAGCAATAGTAGCCCAAACCCACTGCATCCAGCCAATGGTCCAGCAGTGGTACCACAGGCCTACAACAAAGAGGATGCCAAACACTATATGGAGTACAAGGAAAATCTCGTACCATCTGGATCGGAAAAAGTGCATGGCTTGCAGAAGCATCAGGGAGCCAGCAATGGTAGCCACAGTTCCCAGAATCCAGTAGAGTTCAGCGGCGTCTCTGGCCAGCTCGTCTCGGCACATCCAGGTCCAGATAATTGAGTGCAGAATGGCGTAGATCATCATGACTCGAGAGGTCCATCGGTGATAGACATTGAAGGTGTCGAAGGACCACCCAGTCAGCCACATGAGAAAATTGTTTCGTCCAGCAAAAAGGAAGACAATGGGAGCCTGGGTAAAAGACATGATTCCGGTTCGGTCAGCCAGGAATCGTTCCAGTTGAACACCCCAGGTGCCAGCCTCTTCATAGTCATCGTCAAAAGGGTAGGAAGGGAAGCATAGGACAAAAGCCATGATTAGATAGCCAATAACAACCAGGGACTGGATTCGTGTAGGGGTGGCCATCTTGAGAGGATCCCATCCCAAAGGTTGAGAGTGCTTGTAGCCGAAGAGAGCGGGCAGAGATATGTGCTTTCTGAACTTGTTGAAGCCAACCTTCTTGTAAAGACCAAAGAAGGCATTCTGAGAAAAGTTGAAAAAGACACCAAATGCAAAAATCATAGCCCAATAGGCCAGCAGAGCCACTCCGTACCAAGTAGCATAATCCAGGTTGATATAGTGGGGCAGAATCTCTTCGTACTCCTCTTCCCAGTGATCATGGTCAAAAGGCACAGGTGCCCAAAGAACAGCAGTTGCATTCGCAGGCTCCTCGGCAACCAGAGTAGCGTTCTTGAGCCACTCATCGGTCATCTCCTCAGTCAAGTAATCGGGACAAGTCTGGATAATCTGCTTCCGCACCTGAGTGTCATAGTGCTTTGGTTCAATGGCTCCTTGGTAGCACAGTAGCTTACTCTGGATGTAGGGAACAACTGCGCAATATGCGGCGGCGATCTCCTTACGGCTGCTCTGGGTGTTTCGACCGAACTTGGGCATGTCAAACTTGTAATGACCGATCAGATGATCACAACCGAGGGCGGCCCAGTATGCCTTGTTGTTGACTCCATCCTGACGTCGGTATGTTTTGGCAGACACCATTGAAGCGCACAGAAACGTCACCAGCACCGTGGAGACTTTCATAGGGGGAGATTGTCGAGATTGATGAGATAGATTATCATCTTATCTTCCCCTTTATATATCTGGATCTCATCTGATTTATTCTTCTTCCATCTCATGCCGGATATTGAAGTTCAGCTCCGCCAAGAAAAGGTCCTCCGACATGCCTTCCGAGATGTGTTCCGAGGACAACGAAAGATGTCGGCACTGTGCTTGGCGGATCAGAAATTGGCTCGGTTATGCAGGGTCAGTTAATTGGCGAAAGGGGGAGTTTTAGATGATGATACAGTCAAATAAAATGAGGTAATTACTGAAAATATATCTATACATGTATCTTTGAGATATTTATCTACTGATATAGTTTTTATTTTAGCAAGATTTTTCTATCAACATTTTTCTTTCAGAATCCTGAAACGGCGTACAAACTTAAATAACACCGTGTGTGGGAGCTTTGATGGCTTATACGAGAGACGTCACTTGTCACCTCCTTGAATTTAAATCATCATCGTCATCACTAGCCTATATGTCATAATGATGCCCCTATACAATCTAGTAGAACCTGTGTGATATCATAACCTTTGGACGACCGAGACCTGGTCCTGGTTCCGACGACAGTCAAGTCGTCCAATATTTTTCCAATAACACTGCGATGCCAAGACACCTGGGCGTCCGCATGGCACCATACATGTCTTACACTCGTTTATTGCTGCCTGAAATGGTCGGATCAAAATATTGAGTCGCCTCGGATCCATTCGTGCCGGGGTGTTTATCTCGATATTTGGTCATATCAATGCTTTTATATTGTCAGGAAAGCATTCTTATCGATGTAATGTGTTTAATGTTCATTGATTTTTGATCCCCTACTGTCACCGCAGTTTCTGCCCTCCAGCGGTCTTCCGACATTAGCTCCGACTCCGACTCCGATCTGATTTGATTGATAATTTTCAATCAGACTTTCCGATGATCCAGAATAGTACAAAGGGTGAAACACCAGCCGCGAGTAAAACGTCGGCGAAACTGCGGTTAATTATGAGAGCGTAACTCGTCTGAACTCGTACAGACATTATGGATCTGCAAGATGAGCCGTTTGCTGTTGAACATGATACTTGTCACAAGTGATACAAGTAGCAAGCAATAATGTCAATTTTTTCCGTTTCATACATGGATTCCCGGCTCCAAGTAGTGCCGGGACACTTCCTTCGGTGACCTAAGTCATGTACACAACAGAGAGACTGAGAGCACTAGACTTTCTAAGCCATAGGTTGAAGTGCTGTACAGTATATAGCTAATTACGGAACTGTACGCATTGTACATACTGTACTGTCCATGTGTTTTTTTTGTTTTGTCTAGTAGCTTAGGGTAAGCCTCTAAACCTCGATAGCACCTAGATGTCTCCAAACAGACAAAAACGAGATTCCTGGCACTTGACACGAAAATTGAAAGCGAATCAATTCCTCCCCAAATCCAATGTTGTTTCTATCCCTGCGTTCGAGTTGTAGCTATCCGACACTTTCCCGAGTCTTCTGGAAGTTAATCATCCCTAATTACCCATGTGTGGAAGCTCTCCTTGCGCGAGTGTGGGACTGGCTGAACGGTCTGTCCTTTGACCTTGTAAGTGTACTCCGTAGGTTTCTGGAGCACCCTCTGACCCCCATTTGGTATCAGTTTACCTCGTATGGCGGCTTTTTCGTTGCTCTCAAACCAAACCCATATCAGTCTTACTCGGTGTGCATCAGTCTCCAGCTTCAACGTACTGACAGCTCCGTCTTTTCTGCATGTCTTACCAGCTCTAGGTAGCGCAGAAAGACCATCTCGGAAAGACACCCTAGATAAGAGTCTTGCATGTCTCTATGTTTGGCTCTTCGTTGATGCAAGCTGACAGTCCTTGGCTCCCTGTCTTTCAGCTGGTGGGTGGTTCCTGGTATTTCAATCAATGCGCATCGAAGTCCAAGCCAAGCATGGATATGGTCAAATATTGTTATTGAAACTCTCATGTATTGCCTCAGCAGCAAACTTGCTACAAGTATTGTTTTTTTCATCAACACCTCTTTCCCGCTGTAGGCAAGGACTGAAAAACTAATTTTTTTTATCTATTTTATCTCTAATTCTTAAAAGATGAGTTGAAACGATTTGAGATTTTTGTTAGCAGAGATATCCTAACTTACACAAATAGATTCTAGTTTGTCGACTCAAGAAATCCAGACCTACAGAATGCATCCGAAACAAATAGATATGCCGTCAGAATGTACAAGTAGTAGCGAATCGTGGTCATCTGAAATTTAAACTCTAATTTAGTGTACAAGTGTTTTTTTTTGTTATTCTGACAACCTTGCATTATCTCCATTCAGGAAACTCAGATCAGATTAGTAATCAGTTTTTCCTGTTTCTCGTCGACCAGCAAACTGAAATAGAGGTGTCTTTAATGAATCAATAGCTGTGCACACAATGGACTTCATACTATTGTAATATGGTAAGCTTCAGCCGATTATATTTCTCATTACTGAAACTGGATCTAAACTGGAACAGATGTGCCATTAGAGGGCTACTTGAACCAGCCAATATCCCATTATTAGTATAGTAATATTGCAACTGATAAAAAAAAAGACCCATAACTTACAAGTATCCTTCCTCCTCATGGCAATGTGTGTTCCACGAGATCACGCTTGTGTATATCTATGTAGGCCTTTGGAAGGTAGCTATTCGTACTCTGAGCTACTTGTACTACATATGTGAGTCATTAGCTTTAGTAGACATTTATTACCCCAATATCTCGATTAGTATGGTTAGTTAGCATGTGTGATGAACAATTAGACTGTACAAAGCCGTATTACAGCCTAGAATTCTCAGATGTGCTATCTAGAGTCTTTCGTCGATCCCAATCAGCTTTGACTCTGGTGATCTCCTTGATGATTTCTCGCTTGTCCTTGTAGGCATTTCCCATGGTGACCCGATAAAGCTCATGGTGGAGGTGCTCGTCAATCTTTCCCTGGTCTCGATACTTGGCAAGGAGTCGTCGAATGACTCTCTGTCGCCGCATCCAAAGTACTAGCTGGGGCACCTTTGTGTGATTGTTGATTGTTATGTTCTTGTTTGCCGTCATGTTTTCGCTTGATGAGGTTTGGTGTGTATTGGAGAGTGAGGTTGATGATTGATCAGGTAGGGCAAACCAATCGGCGATTTCTGAGTCTTCAAAGGATCATAAATTCTTGAAAACCAACTTCTGTTTCTGGATATATATACCATGAATGTTCTGCAAGAGTCACCAAGCCTTGCGGTCACTAGGGCAGTTATGTGTCACGAAGTTGGGACAACTAAAGACTCATTGCTATTGAAGATCATAAGTATTATTGATGTGATATAGTTAATTAACAACTTACAACCCACTTCTAGAAGCTATGTGGACCAACATACAACACGGACTGAACCAGGTTTTTTTATGATTTTTTTACTGGAAATAGGTACGTGCCAAGTTGGACCATGACACTAAACGTGTTTAATTAGTAATATTCGTGTAAGCGTACATTCATTTCAAAGGTTATTCTTTCACGGCAAAGTTATAATTAAATGAATGTATATGCAGAAAAAAAAAAAATAGGGACACGGCGTTCCGATAGTAGCACACACCCTTCTGGTGTGTGCTTGCTCATTCACCAGAAAAGAGATTCTAGATCAGTGGATAAAACTATCTACAGGATGGACATCTCGTCTACGACCCAGCTGATTCCTCTCATTACTATGTGGTGACATCTCATCATTATGTGAGGAATTATCCAGGTATTACCCTACCGGGTATTACCTTCAACAGCTACATGGCTCACATCTCGGTTTACAGCAAATGTAAAGGCTATGTATTCATTCAATAGCTTCAATAACCCCTATCAAGGACACGAACAAATTATGTGTATCGCCGGTTCAAAATTGCTAGAGCTCGACAAATCAACCATTGTATGTCCTCGCCACCGCGTTGCCTCGGTTACTGGTAAAACTTTAATTCATATAGACCACGTAGTTCTGGTGGTTGAACGAGTTCTGATTCAGAGCCAACGAAGGGTCACTGAGAAATTTCAGCCCACAGGGTCGTTCTCCGTAACTGATCTCCGGGTACAGGGACTTTCTGCTGGGCTTGTTGATGTGGAAGAGATCTCCGGCTTGCAGAAACATGTCCACATCCTGCGTCCTAGTGATACCCATAATTTCGTGAAACCTCTTCCCAAACAGGATCCAGCTCGTTGTATCCCACATGGTTATCTGTGGTTATGGGAATCCGTATTGTGTCTGGACCGCTTGTTGCCATTGCGTCAATGGTTGTATCGTGGCTGGCTTTCACGGGTGGTATATTACATATCTACAGTAAAGTATGGGTGGTATGTCACACTATTGGAGTCTCGAGAACTTTATTTGCGTGCTCCTCCACGTATTAAGTTGAGCGCATACATACAAAGAAATAGAAGCCGAGGACAATACATACTGTACCTGTAATGCAGCTGCATCATTGGGGAGACCAGAAGATGGTATTTTTCCCGGATTGTATCGACGCGGAAAGGCCTTGTACAACGTGTTTTCGTGCTCGTCGACACCTGGTTCTGTGCCACTATCACTGTTTCCCACAGTGGGTTGAGGTTATCATAGGTTCCCAAAGAGGGAGTGCTAACCTGTGAATCTTTGTTACATCATGCATAAGCTGACTGATAAGGATCTACCCTATAAACTGAAACGTGCAGCTCATGTTCCGTCCCATAGTCAGGTCTTTGACATAAAACCAACACGCGTAAAGAGAAGGCCCCTTTTCGCGTCACTTTTTTCATCTTTTCAGCCAATTGTCACTCTCTTGCTCACCCTTTCGGTGCCTTCCGTTTGTAGAAGCTGAATAAGGTTATTCTGATACGAGTCGGATACTTGCAAAGTATCGTGGGTGGAGGAAAATCAGATGGAATAGACGGATAGATATATAAGAAATCCAAGTCAGAGCCATTGATATAGGGGCCTAGTAACATTTAGCCGCCCGCCAAGGTTAGTTGACCATGGAGATAAGCTCGAAGATAGTACGTAGAGATAAGCCGATAGGTGTGATAGGTGTGATAGGCGTGACAGGTGTGACAGGTGTAACGGGGCTATGAAGGAAGACCTCTGATGTCCAGACCCAATAAAAACGGTCTTTAAGAGGTAATAATCGAGGGGGTTCAACTGATAGTGGGGTCCTTGGGTCCTCGGGTGCACTGGAGTGTCATTATTTAGCGGAAAATTATCTTAGCTGGCTCAGACATTCCTATTAGACGGTCAAACTGACACAAAATACTGCGGGGCAAACAAGCTCCGGTCTAACCTGTGGATAATTGGTGGGAGGGTTATCTTCCCAGGCCAAGGAGATAGCTTAGACAAAGATTTTCCTTACCTACACACACGTTATCTCGGGATTCGATACGTGACTCGTGAGATACCGGTGCTTCCGGCCCCTGACGGCAAACTCTGTCATTATTCATGGAATCAGCGGGGACACGAGTATATAGAGTAGCATGACCCCCTTCCAGTGGTCAGAAAGATTTAGTCAACATCACAATGAGCACATCAATCGGCTGGACTATTCCTGAATGGAAGGAGGCACAGACCAACTCGTCTTACGAGGAGGGCCGACATCGATTGTTGGACCTTGTGGCCACCTTCAAGGACTATAAGCGTGGAGATCCCGCGTGGATCACTCTTGCCTCAACAGAACTTATCAACAAGCAATGGAAGGAGCTTCAACTGATGAAAAAGGACCCAGAGGTGAGTATGAGATATACAAAAATAGCATTCGACTTTATTCTCAGCAAAATTCAGCAATGATCTCTTGATTTGATCGAAGGATCTTTCCCACCATGCTGGAGTGGTCACAGCAGCTCCAAATCATTGGGTTGACCTAATGCCATCGCAACTGCTTAGATTAAGGCGCTAACACAGTCCCTACCACTCTACGGAGTCCCTTTCGCTGTCAAGGACAGCATTGACGTGGCAGACTTTCCAACAACAGTTGCCTGCCCCGCCTACCTCTACGTTGCCAAGGAAGACGCCACCACCGTCCGTCTCATCAAGGAAGCTGGAGGCATTGTTGTCGGCAAAACCAACCTGGATCAATTCGCTACGGGTCTGGTTGGAACCCGATCTCCCTACGGAAAGACCCCCAACACCTTCTCCGACAAGCACGTGTCTGGTGGCTCTTCTTCTGGTTCCGCTTCAGTTGTCGCCCGAGGCCTTGTTCCCTTCTCGCTCGGAAGTGACACCGCAGGATCAGGTCGAGTTCCTGCCTCTCTCAACAATTTGATTGGTCTGAAGCCCTCCGCTGGCATCGTTTCCATGAAGGGTGCGGTGCCTGCCTGCAAGACCATCGACTGCCTCTCAATCTTCTCTCTGGTGCTATCTGATGCCCAGCTGGTGTTCAACATTACCGCCCACTACGATAAGGATGACTTCTACTCGCGAAGTTTACCCCATCGACCTCTCAAGTCCTTTGGCCCCGCCCCTGTCTTTGCTGTCCCTGAGAACCCTTTGTGGTTTGGTGATGAGCTCAATCCTGAGATGTTCGACAATGCCGTCGAGCATCTGCGACAACAGGGCGTCAAGGTGGTCAAGATTGACTTTAATCCTTTGTTTGATCTCGCCAAGTGCCTCTACGAAGGTCCTTGGGTAGCTGAGCGATATGCTACCCTCAAGGATTTTATGCAGAACCGAAAGGAAGATATGAACGAGACTGTGTACGGCATTATCAAACATGCAGAGACGTTCACTGCTGCAGACGCCTTTTCTTACGAATACAAGCGACGGGCCATTGTGCGGAAGATTGAGGAGATCTTCTCTTCAATTGATGGTCTGTTTGTGCCTACCTGTCCTCTATTCCCCACCATGGATTCTGTGGCCAAGGAGCCTGTCACTGTCAACGCCAATCAGGGTACTTACACCAACTTTGTCAACCTTGCTGATCTCTCCGCACTGGCAATTCCTGCTGGTTTCCGAAAGGACGGCCTTCCATTTGGAATCACACTCATCTCACAAAAGTTCAACGACCATGCTCTGCTGGACATGGCTCAGAAGTTCCTATCTACTTCTCGACCCCTGGGTGCCTTACCCAAGGATCAGTTCACTGCTAAGAAGGGTGATGCTCTGGCCTCCTCCATTGTTGACAATATGCCTCGAACCATTCCCCTGGCTGTGGTAGGAGCCCATATGACTGGCATGCCTCTCAACTGGCAGCTTCAAAAGGTCGAGGCGACTCTTGCCCGACGAACCCAGACCGCTAAAAACTACCGACTTTACGCGTTGGCCAACACCGTTCCTTCCAAGCCAGGTCTTCGACGAGTGCTACCTTCCGACACTACTCTTCGAGGCGAGGCTATTGAGGTTGAGGTTTGGGATGTTCCTTACCAAACCTTTGGTGAGTTCGTCTCCATGATCCCTCATCCTCTTGGTATTGGAACCATTGAGCTTGCCGACGGCAAGTGGGTCAAGGGATTCATTTGCGAGCAGCAAGGATATGACGACGCCGAGGACATTACCAAATTTGGAGGCTGGAGAGCATTCAAGGCTGAAATTAAGCTGAAATCGGAGTCTAAGCCCTTTGAGACGGTCCTGGTGGCCAACCGAGGTGAGATTGCTGTCCGACTCATCAAGACTCTGCGAAAGATGGGAATTAGAGCTATTGCGGTCTTCTCCGAGCCCGACAGATTTGCTCAGCACGTCCTTGATGCTGATGACTCCGTTTCTCTAGAGGGTACCACTGCTGCCGAGACCTATTTATCCATCCCCAAGATCATTGCTGCTTGCAAGCAGACAGGCGCTGAAGCCATTCTTCCTGGCTACGGTTTCCTGTCTGAGAATGCCGACTTCTCTGACGCTTGTGAGGAGGCTGGCATTGTCTTCGTTGGTCCCACTGGTGACTCCATCCGAAAGCTTGGTCTCAAGCACTCTGCTCGAGAGATTGCCCTCGCCTCTGACGTGCCTCTTGTTCCCGGCACTGGTCTGATCGAGACGGTTGCCGAGGCTGAAGAGGCTGCCAAGAAGCTCGAGTACCCCCTGATGATCAAAAGCACCGCTGGTGGAGGTGGTATTGGTTTGCAGAAGGTCGACAAGCCCGAAGATCTCAAGCGGGCGTTCGATACCGTTAAGCACCAGGGTAAGTCTTTCTTTGGAGACGATGGTGTCTTTATGGAGCGATTTGTAGAGAAAGCTCGACACGTGGAAGTTCAGATTCTCGGTGATGGTAAGGGTAATGCCATCGCTATTGGTGAGAGAGACTGTTCTCTTCAGCGACGAAACCAAAAGGTAATTGAGGAGACTCCCGCCCCTAACTTCCCTGCCGAGACTCGAACGCGGATGATGAATGCCTCCGAGATGCTGGCCAAGAATCTTAACTATCGAGGGGCAGGCACTGTGGAGTTCATTTTCGACGAGAAGCGAAACGAGTTCTACTTCCTAGAAGTCAACGCTCGTCTGCAGGTCGAACATCCCATCACCGAGTACGTCACTGGTCTGGATCTTGTCGAGTGGATGATTCTTATTGGTGCTGGTAAGGCTCCCGACTTTGAAGCGCAACGTGCTAAGACCCCCAAGGGTGCTTCTATCGAGGCTCGTCTCTACGCCGAGAACCCCATCAAGGATTTTGTGCCGTCTCCGGGCCAGCTCACGGACGTGCAGTTTCCTACTGACGCTCGAGTCGACACCTGGGTCTCCCGTGGAACTAAGGTCTCAGCCGAGTACGATCCTACGCTTGCCAAAATTATTGTTTATGGTACTGACCGAGCTGACGCTCTGCAGAAGCTTCAGAAAGCTCTGGAAGAGACTGTGGTTGCCGGGGTGACTACCAACCTCGATTACCTCAAGTCCATTGTCGGATCTGAGATGTTTGCCGAGGCTAAAGTCTCCACCCAAGTGTTGGATTCCTACAATTACCATCCCAACGCCATTGAGATTACTGCGCCCGGCTCCTATACAACAGTTCAGGACTATCCTGGCCGAACCAAGTTGTGGCACATTGGTGTTCCCCCTTCTGGGCCTATGGACACATACGCCTTCCGAGTGGCCAACCAGATTGTTGGTAACAACCCTAAGGCTCCTGCCATTGAGGCTACTCTTGTAGGTCCCTCTATTCTGTTCCACAGCGACACCGTCATTGCCGTCACCGGTGGATCTGCTGAGGCCACCCTGAACGGCAATCCTATCGAGTTTTGGAAGCCAGTGAATGTCAAAGCTGGACAGACTCTGGCTACTGGTCGTCTAACCTCTGGATGTCGACTGTACATTGCCATTCGAAAAGGCTTATCCATCCCCGAGTACCTTGGCTCTCGATCCACCTTTGCTTTCGGTAACCTTGGAGGCTTCAACGGTCGGACTCTCAAGTTTGGCGACGTCATCTTCATGAATGATCCTGAGCTCCCTTCTTGTTCCATTCCTGCTCCCATTTCCGAGCCTGCTCCTGCATCAGCTGATATGATCCCCCAATACGGAAACTCCTGGACTGTTGGTGTTACCTGTGGCCCTCACGGTTCGCCCGACTTCTTTGCCCAGGGTTGGATGGATACCTTCTTCGATTCCAAGTGGAAGATTCACTACAACTCCAACCGATTTGGTGTTCGATTGATTGGCCCTAAGCCGGAGTGGGCTCGAAAGGACGGTGGAGAGGCCGGTTTGCATCCCTCCAACCAGCATGACTACGTCTACTCTCTGGGGGCTGTTAACTTCACTGGTGACGAGCCTGTCATTCTGACATGCGACGGTCCTTCTCTTGGTGGTTTTGTTTGTGCTGCTGTTGTTGCGGAGGCTGAGCTGTGGAAGATTGGCCAGGTGAAGCCGGGAGACACTGTGCAGTTTGTACCCATGTCCATCGACTCTGCTCGACAGCTTAAAAAGGCACAGGACAGAACCATCACCAACCTGTGTGGTTCTTCGTATGAGTCTGTTGATGCTCTCCTTGCCCTTGAGGACTATGAGAACCCCGTCATATACACTCTTCCTGCCTCAACGTCCACTCCCCGTGTCGTCTATCGACAAGCTGGAGACCGGTACATTTTGGTTGAGTACGGCGACAACAGCATGGACATTAACATATCATACCGAATCCACCGACTCATCGAGGAGGTTCAGCAGTCCATAAAGGGCATTGTCGAAATGTCTCGAGGGGTTCGTTCCGTTCTGATCGAGTTCCATGCTTCTGCCTCTCGATCCACTCTCATGAAAGCCCTGGTTGATTTTGAGAAACGACTCCAGATTGTCGAGACCTGGCAGGTGCCCTCTCGAATCATCCGACTTCCCATGTGTTTTGAGGATTCCAAGACCCTCGAGGCAGTCAAGCGATATCGGGAGACCATTCGGTCAAAGGCTCCGTGGCTGCCCAACAACGTCGACTTCATTCAACGCGTCAACAAATTCTCCGACAGATCCCAGGTCAGAGACATTCTCTACACTGCCCGATACTTGGTCCTGGGTCTTGGAGATGTGTTCCTCGGTGCTCCTTGCACTGTGCCTCTTGATCCCCGACACAGACTGCTTGGAACCAAGTACAATCCCTCTCGGACCTACACTGCCAACGGTACTGTCGGTATTGGAGGCATGTACATGGCTATTTACACCATGGACTCCCCTGGTGGTTACCAGCTGGTTGGTCGAACCATCCCCATCTGGGACAAGCTGTCTCTTGGTCAGGAACGACCGTGGTTAATGTCTCCCTTTGACCAGATCGAGTACTACCCCGTTAATGAGGAGGAGCTCGACAACATCACCACCGAGGTGGAGAATGGTCGATACGCTGTGGAGATAGAACAATCGGTCTTTGACTTCGGCGTTTACTCTGCGTGGCTTAAGGACAACTCCGAGTCCATCGATGCCCACATGGCTTCTCAGGCCGAGGGTCTGGACGAATTTACCAACCTGATCAAGGTCGCCAACGAGGATCTGTCCTATGGTAAGGCTGTAGCCCCCAAGGAAGAGACCCCGCTGTCTGCGTCAGCCGTCCAGGTCTTCTCGGAGGTCACTGGTCGGTTCTGGAAAAGTTTGGTTGCTGTTGGGGATACCGTTGACAAGGGTCAGGCTATCCTTGTGGTGGAGGCCATGAAGACCGAGATGATCATCAACACTCCGACGGCAGGAAAGGTTGTCAAGTTGTACAACATCAACGGAGATATGGTGGATACTGGGGATTGTGTGGCTGTTATTGAGCCAGTTGTTTAAGTATTATTAATCTATGTATTTTATCGTGCTTGTAGTTTTTAGTTACAATACAGTATGTAGTACAACTACAAGTATATAGTCTGCTCTAGGGTATCACTTCCCACTGGTATCTCGGTCTGGCATATCTCCTTTGATGGCAATTGTCACGTCTTTCTACAATCGCTCCTCTGCACCCATGTCTGCACAACGGGACAGAAATGACAAATTTTAGTCAGCGGCAAAAGCTCTGGGCCTCGAATCTCTTCTTCCTTAAACAAACTTTCTGGTCAACTTCCTCGAGAAGATTGAGCTTGAACGACGTTGCTGATCGTGGTTACATCGTCCTCGGTAGGATTTGTGAAAATCCTGACGTATCACCCTATAGATAGAGCTAGAGGATTTCTTCCATACAAAACCAGACTCCATCACAGTCAAGGGCACCATCGCAACCAGTGGTCCAGACACAATACGGCCCCTTATCACCTCCGACCGCCTTTTGAAACCAAAGAGCACGATTCCATTCGAAGAGACCACTGTAGGAAGTCGTTCCGAGAAATCATGAGGTGTGGCTAAGGAAGAGGGGTAGTGCATAGGCCCCACTCAGCGTGTCGGAAAAGTTTGCTAATGATGCAGCTCATGAGATGCTACTAACAAGTCGCAATCGTATGACACGTCTGAAGAATCGAGGTTGAAAGCATGAAGCGACAGCCCCCCCGCCTCGGAAAGGGAGGTGTGGGTGAATCTGCAGCTCTTATGCAGAGATGTTGTGTCTCGCGAATGCAGGCCGGCCAGGTTTCTCAGGGTGGTTGACGACAGTGACATTAATGTCCAGATCTCTGGGCTCGTGGTTAAATGGGTTGATGTGGTGTTTCTCTTGCACCGGGAGAGCTCAGCGCAGTACAATTACTTGTATGGTTGCTGGTCTTGTTGTTTTGGGTTTTCCATCATGTTGTTTTTGTCGTTGACATTTATAAGTACAAGTACAAGTATACAAGTACTTGTATGACCAAAATGACTGTCATATGTTCATGTTCCAGATGCAAGATTAAGGTAATTGGGATAAGGTTTCATATAAACATCGAAAATTCTGCACTCCGTGGGAGGATGACCTTACACAATGAAGAGCATTAGCGAAAGGAGTTGTTCGAGACCAAGTACGTACTATACTCGTACAAGTACAGTGACGTGCTTGTAAAAGCACTCAATCACAGATTTCCCTCTCGGCAATGCAAAATTTCGACAAAACGCGACGAGTTACATGCTTAATGACGTCATCAGGCACGCCACACATCAGACACACCTAACGCGTCACGCCCATCAATGATATCAGGGCGGACGCATGGCCCCCGGGGGAAACACGCAACACGCGGCCTGTGCGCGTAACTGTTCGCGCACCACACTGCGCAGCCCAGACATCAACACTCTAGAGAACACCACGTTTACCAGGCGCATTGCTCAGCTCTGTGTCGGTGCTCCCGACCAAGACTCCCTCGACATCGCGAACCGTTACTCAGGCTGCTCCTTCCCTGAATCCAAAGGGTCTGAAACCTGGTCCTTTCCTGAGCTACCTGAAGTCCCGGATCGCATGAAAGCTCTCTTAGGTGAGAACGCAGTACGATGCCTTACAGGCCGGCGTGTGGGCCACCGAACCGCCGATTGTTAAGGTCGATGAATGACGATCTCGAGTCGCTTGCAACACAGGTTTCTACTTGTAGTCACTTGCTTGTCCCACACGGACTCAGTTCTAATGAGGGTCCACTTGGGGTTTTGGGAGGAGAAGAGGACGAGTGTCTTCTCTTCATACTCGCGCCCAATTTGACTAGCAACCGCAGCTTGTACTTGTTTTTTTTCCCGTACACAAGGTTTGTCGGTTACAGCGTGTCACTCCCCCAACACCACCGCCGCTGACTGTCCTGTCCTGTCTACCCACTTCCGTCTGCAAGTCTGACACGACTGTGAGTATCACTCACCTCTAACACAGCACAACCGCCAGGAAGACACACTAGTGTTTGTTTTCCCGCGACAGCAACGACGTCGCTACCAGTTGCAGTGCACCACACAGCGATCAGACCAGTACAGTACAGTACTGTAAGTATGTGAACGACATTCGAACTACCTGCACAGATTCAACCTCGCAACATTCTCACTAAAAAGGAGCTCCGAACGCGCGATGCTAGTGACAGCATGCCAACACGACCGCGCAACACCGAATGCCCCCACACTATCCTAACAGACACCAGCAACGCACGCCCCAGAAGCCAACGTCGCAAGGCATGAGTGAGTATACTTTTGACAGTGCTGTATGACGAGTTGCAACATACGTCGCGCTACTGAGTGACTAGGATCTACGAGTCACTGACCGTACTGAGTCATAGTTAATACCCGATGTGATTCCCAAGTCGTCACAACATGATACCCGCATAAATGGCGGTGGACGCCATAAATCGGCGCAGCACGCTACTGGCCACCGCAATCGAGCACCACAGTATTATCATCTAAGTGATATATTAAATACAGCATTATTACAGAATTACTCAGCGCTGTGACCCCTCATCAATATTTCCCAAGTCGATGAATAGCTCCTGATCCTGTAGCTCATATGCATCAGAAATGTTGTTGTTGAGCCCGTATATCAGGGAATCCACCTTCTTGTTCATACCAGTCACTGTTTCTCCGTCCAACTCGTCAACAAGTTTGCCGAGTTCATAGTCACCTGCAACCTCTGGTTGCGCGTGTACTTATCTTTGCCGTCTTTCATAATGTTACTTGTAGAGGGTGTGAAAGTGACCTGTGGTATCCATACGTGGTAACACATCTTGTTGTACAGACAGAGCATCCATACTACTTGTAGGCAGGTCAAATTCTAAGGCGATATGAGCAAGCAATACGTAGCTACCGAAAGTGAGTCTTGGAAGACAGAGTGTTACCGTGGTGTGAAGCTGTAACAAATAGCAAATATGTCACCATTGACACTGCGTGCTTAGCCTCCAAAGCATCGGGAGGGTCTAAACTGAATCTTCTAGAAGAGTGACGCGTCATTGCAAAGGGTCCTATGCTCTCAAAGCCCCTTGGTGTTCCCTGCTATCACGCCAAAGGGCAACACGGTTTGGTACGAGGCGCTTGCTGTTCCACAGAACGCATATGAAGGTTAGCATGGAACCGGGATCCAAGGATCAGCTACTTGTAGATGAATAAGGACCGAGTATATTAAAACTTCATGGTTATCTTCAATCTTGAGGAGATCTGTGGCTGGACTGTGTCACAGTTTAGGTTCAGCCACACACAGATATAGATGCGATGATTATTCGAGATTCAGGAACGCGAATCGTTCTGGTTCAGAAGTAAGACACAGACACACAATGTCTACATATATGTATTTCAACAGTGTTATACCCCTCTGACACCTCTTCCGTCTCTTAGCCTTCCAGCTTTCCCGAAACTCCACTATCTCTACTGCGGCTTGACTTGGTCTTAACCTACTGCTCTACTCGTACTATACGAGTAGTTCCAGTGTATATCCGACGCCCAATTGAACCTACAGGCAAGTGGGTTGTTTTCAAATTTGAGACGCTCTTGATGTTTGCGAAGTCTCAAGGTATCTCCGAGCGGTCACCGCAAGTGTCCTAAAGTGGAAGTTCCAAGCTTATCCACCCTGTACGACACCCGCTCCCCATCCTCACGTAATTCTAGTCTACAGCTCTAAATGATTCGTGTCTGTCATATTGGGGAGTTCAATTGATACATCAAATGTGACATTTTGGTGGCATCAGAATCTCCATCTTTTGAAAGTATTGGCACGTACTGTGTATCTTTAGACACCCTAAAAGTCAATCTTTGCGATCTCCATTATCTCCATTGTGGCTGCTATCTAGCAATCAAAATACCATTGTGGCTGTGGTGAAGTCATATTAATGTAGACTAAGTCCACGGGGACATTGGAACTTATACAAGCTCCTTTTCGCTTCCAATGATTCTCTCAAATGTTCGACGTTCTCCGCAAAATCAACATCCTGCCTCTGGTCAAAGAGCCTTCCCCAGAGGTATACCAGCAGGTGCTCGAGAAGTACCCCAAGTACCGAGAAGAGGAGAAGGACCAAGGTCTGGAGTACCGAGATGAAGCCAACAGGTCAAGATGGTCCTTTTTCGACGAGTACGAGTACAGGCTACCAAGACTGACCTCTTCCAAACCACTCACGCGATTTGGTTGGTTTGATCCAGACGACACACCGGCTGAAAAACGACTCATAATGAAGTTGGATATCATCCTGACTTTGTATTGCTTTCTCATTTATTGGATTATGAAGTTAGACCAAGCCAACATCAATAACGCCTATGTTTCTGGCTTGAAGGAAGATATAGGACTCGAAGGAAACGATCTCGTGACCACCCAGGCTCTGTATTCTGCAGGAGCGATCATTTTCCAGCTTCCATTCATTTACATCATTCCCAAGTTTCCCAAAAACTACATCTTGCCAATCATGGTATCAGGCTGGGGTGTGATGACCCTCTTACTCTTCGAAGCTAAGAACCCCGCAGGAGTCAAAGCTCTGAGATTCTTTGTAGGGGTTTTTGAGGCTTCATGGTACCCTCTGATGCACTACATGCTTGGGTCTTGGCTGAAACCTCGGGAAATCAATCGAAGAGCTGGCTTCGTTTACTGCGCTCAGTTCCTAGGTACAATCACATCGGGGTTACTTGCCGCAGCTTCTATCACTCATCTCGACGGGTACTTGGGTCACAAGGGTTGGCAATGGATGTTCATTCTGGATGGCATTATTACACTACCCGTTGGAATTCTGGGCGTTTGGATTCTCCCTGGAACACCATACAGATGCAGTTCGATTTTCATCACCGAAGAAGAGGTAGTTATCGCCAGAGAGCGCCTAAAGAGGGGTCCCAACGACAACCACCAATTGAAATTGTTTGATAGGCAACTCTGGAAAAATATTCTCACCTCATGGAAACTATGGATTCCAATGCTTGCTGATGTTGCCTTCTGGTGTTCATGCCAGATCCCCTCCAGTGGGGCATTCATTCTATGGTTAAAGTCATTGAATCGGTACACTTCGGCTGGGGTCAACAACATGTCAACGATATCACCTGCTTTGGGGTTCGCTTGGGTAGCCATCGTGGTGACCATTGCAGACTATGGTAACAGATGGATGGGTATTGTGTTCGCAGAGATATGGGTGATCATAGGGGCCATTATTCTAGCCATCTGGAACGTTCCGGAATCTGCAAAATGGTTTGCCTGGTGCACTTCCTATTTTTCCATCAGTATGTCTGCCTCTTTGTACTCTTGGATCAATGACATTTGCCGACATAATGCTCAGGAACGAGCCATCATTTTATTGCTAGTCAACACAATGGCCCAGACATTCTCCACCTGGACATCAGTTGTGGTCTTCAAGACCGTGGAGTCACCGCGATACCTAAAAGGTTATTGCTTCACTGCTGCCTTATCCTTCACCCTGATTTGTCTGGTTTTTGTCATGCTATGGTTTTACAAGAAGCAAGAGCGTAAGGACGCCAGGCTGAACGGAATTGTGCTGTATAATTCGGAGCTGGCCGAAACTACAGACCCAAGCGAGGCGTCAGAAAGCGACCGAAAGATGGACATCATTGAGCAAAAGTGTAGTATTTAATAGATGTAAAAGAAAAGAAGCTGAGACTTGAACGGGAAGATATCACATTGCTACTGGTGTTTGTCAACTTTTGGAGCCACCCGTATAATATTCTGGATTTATGATGGGCCCCGGGTTTAGCTATCAATCAAGGTTTAGATATTGCGTGTTAGATGCATGGCGTGACAACACACCACGTGGGCACGAGCGCGACAGATTCACCATGTCACGAACGCACCACCAAACACACGAACGTTCTATCATGCAACCATCATCGAATGATCTCTGAATCATTATGCTTCACAATTGCTCATCTCATTATGGCTTTGCCTATGCTATGACTAGCAAGACCTTGTCGAAGACGCTATGATGTAGCCGACTCGTCGACACGTGCACCCTATTGCTATCGGAACGTACAACTCTTGCTTCGAAACAGAACGCCGACACATTGAATGTATCTTACTGCACACTCAATGGCCACAAAATTGTCTATCATGTCGCTACAGCACGTTGGAATTCTACTCTTGAGCGACCATGACAAATGGTAACCTCCAAGAACGCGCCTGGCGGATCCGCAGTTTCTTTCGCGTACGAGTGCAATAGGTGTTAATTACGCAAACGATACAACTCGCTTCTTGATACCTCTTTCGTTTTGCTAGCCTGTGTCAGCCGCAGCATTACCAGTTGTCCTAATTCGTTCCAACACACCCCACTTTTGGAAGCAAGGGCAAAGACTCATCGACTCTGGGTCTAAACGCACAAGACTTAGCTCACGACACGCATAACGACTGGGACCTCATCTCGCACACTCAATATAGCGCTGGAATGCACTGTACACCGAATTTACTCTCTGCGCTAGTCCTGTGTTGCTGTGATGCCACAGAGGCGGGTCCAACAACGCCACCCTGAAACAACCAGACACCGCTTCTTCAACCTACAGTATAAGCACAGTAACTCTATCGTAATCGATTTAGAGTAGAGGGGTCGGAACATATATACGTCGTGCAGGGGTCGCAAAAGCTCGTAATCGTGCGTTATCCACACGTGCTTTGTAAACGTGGGATTTAAACTTCTACTCTGAGTTGCCCCCACCCTTGGGTGTGGTTGATAGTACAAGTAATTTTTCTACAGTTCAATACATTATTCAAGAAAAAAAGCCAACAGTACCTGTGTATGGTACGAGAAGTCGTATTATAATCGTCGTAGGACACATCACTGTAAAATTAAAAACTTTTATTAGATACAAAAGAGTTGACTCGTGTCAGACAGGTTAGAGAAGAAGAGCACCGATGGCACCAACAAGAGCAGCTCCAGAAAGAGTAATGAGGGTGGCTCCATTGGTGTTCTTGGAGGGAACAACGCTGGGAGAGGTGTGGTTGACTCCGGCAACGGCGACGCCAGCGCCGGAAGTAGCGGACGCAGTGGAGTTAGGGTAGGCGACAGTAGAGTTCTTCTCAGCAGCCTTGCCCCAGATCTCGGCGATCTTGGGCAGAATCTTGTTACCGGAAATACCAACGGCAGTCAGGTCAGGGACCGGGATAGGGACGGTGTCGTCCATAAAGTAACCAGGCTGAGAGGCGTTATGGTACAAACCCTCAGTGGAAATGTTTCGGTTCTTGATGTTGAGCTCATCGGCGACAAACTTGAAGACGTTGGCATTAACATCGCCACGTCCAAGATGGGGGAGCTCCCAATTGGCCTCGACGGTGGCGAGGTTGGAGTAGTGGTCGTAGAATGTATCGTCAGTGGTACCTCGCAGATGGTCGGGGACGGCACCACCAAGAAGAATAGCGAGGACCGAGTTCTGGTCCTTGTAGGTCTCGTTCTCATCGAACGTGATGATGATGAGACTGTCCTTGGCGAACTCGGTGTTGTTGAGCAGAGGCTTGACCCAGTTGGTAACGTACCGACCCGAAACAGAAATATCGGTATCGTGACCATCGTTGGTCATGTTGGGGGTGAAGAAGGCCCATTGGGGAAGATCCTTGTTCTTTAGGTCCTTGTTGAACTCAGTGTAGTTCTTGATGTAACCGAGGTTGTGAGGGTTGGACACAACGGAGTCGTAGATAATGAGAGGGTTGTGCTTTCGGACGTAATCGTTGGCGTAATCGGACTGTCGAGAGTAATTGAAACCCTCGAAGCCGGCATGGGGCTGGTGTTCTTGGTACTCGGCCCAAGAGATGTTCTTGGAGTCGAGCAGATCGACAACAGTGGACACATTCTCAGGGATTCGGAGGAAGGCATCATCAAAGATACCAAAGTAGTCACCACCGACAACACCAACATAGTTGGGCTCAGAGGGGTGAGTGAGACCCCAGTAGTTGGTCAGAGTGATACCCTGCTTCTGGAGCTCAACGAGACCGGGCTCGTCCCGAGCCTTCCACTTGTCAGTGTTCTCGAGCCACACCTGGTAGAACTTATCAAAGGCCTTACCCTTAACGAGAGGCTTGTCCTTGAAGGAGTTGACAGCGGCAGTCTCGGCAGCCTTGGCGATATCAGTGGCAGCAGGATTGATGGTGGAGAACTTGGGTGTTCGGGTGGCCTTGGAAACAATCTCATCGTAGGCGCTGAAGTCGTTATGGGCGGTGGTCTGGGCAGACACACCAGCGACAATGGCCAGGAGGGTGATAGGTGCAAAGAGCATAGCGAGTGTAGTTGTTGCTTGAACTCCGGAAACCGGACACTGTGGAGTTTATATACATGCTGAAGGGACGGCAATTTCGCGAGTCACGTACCACGTGTTTCAAGAACTATCTGTGGATCTCGTCATTACGATCTGGGTTCGGAGAGTTTTGGTTATTGAATCTTATTACTTGGGGGTTATTTACATTCACCCTCATTGGTCGAGAAGAGTTCGGAGGTAAACCAAGGTAGAAGTGGGTGCGTTCGTAGCGGCTATCGGAACTGCTCCATAAAAGTGCAATAAATATTACTTTCAAGGTATGATAATCACCTGGAGCCGAGTGCTCGCTTGTCCCCCAATGTGAGTCCTTGTCATTTAATTACATAAAAGATGTCGCCAAGAGGCGTCACTTGCGTCGTGTGGAGGTCGAAGTTAACCTTGAAAAAGCTTGGCCTACTTAGTGTTCATTTCCTTTTGGGAGGTCATGGTTAGGTTGGGACCTTTGATTGGTTCTAATGGAGATAAGCATTCGATGTGAGACAAGATATGCGCCCCGGTGAAGCCGCCAGCCACGGAAGATCGGGAAATTTTAGGACAACGTTGGCCGAAACAAGCCGTATAAGACGAGCGGCACACATGAGAGTTTGTAGCTGTTGGGACCCAAACCTGTACGATGTAGAAAGCTACTTGTAGCTACTGCACAAGACTACATCTGCAGGTCTTCTCCTCAAAACCTCAGTCGAAATGGCTGCTGCTTCGAACTACGGTACATACTGTACAGTGTACTTTATAGTATCAAGTACAAAATGGAAGCATTTAAACAGCAATTATATACAATAAGAGAGAGCTGGTGAACAATGCTACAAACAGAATGGATAGTACTGGTCGTAATCGTAGTTTACAGCATGTACTGTAGTATAAGAGGTGTATTAACCAACCATCGATACAGTAGTGGAAAGTAAAACTATTTCTCGAAGGAGAAACATCTCACTGTGATATCTGCGTGCATTGAAACTCATATGGAAGGATATGTACTCGTTCTTACAGTATGTGTACTCGTAGGTACCGTGGGGCTACAAGAAGCTTGTTTTGGGGTTCCTATCTATGCCAAAGATGGTTGTGAACGTATCCCCCATCGACTGTGACTCGGGGTTAACATTAGTAACAGGAGTTCTTGAAGCCAGAGTCGCTGACCGAGTTGTAAAGCTCAGAGTCATGACTTCTATTTAGATCAGGGAGAAGCTAAGGGTACATGACGGTTTGATAAGGGGGCTCCCACACTTGAATCAATCGGCGTTTTTCCATTATCCTGTTGCACAAGTTCACATATAGGTCATCCGTTCCAGCCTCCTCATCATGCATGCATTCTGAATACCCCAAGGGAAAAAGACGGCTATCTGGGAGCTAAGAAGACAGTTTGTTGCACAGATGTTGCCACATCCTTCCAGTCGGAACATGTATCTTCCGAAATCAAGATTTAGGTGGCTTCGGTATCATGGAATATTCTCCGCTATTCTTCTCTGTCAATTTTTCTTGCCCAGGAGGGCTGGTGCATAATTAAAGGTTTTATGATATGTAAGGGGGGATGGCATCTTTGGGGTCTACGAAGTAGCAGGGAAACTGACATGGGACTGTTTAGAAGAATGAAATCATAATTTTACCACTAAAGTATGCCATCATTGCAGCATTTGTTTCAAAATATCTCTACCATCACATTCTGGAGCTTTCCATCTGATTCTGACGACTTCTTCCTCCTGCACCCTAAAGAATGGTCGGCATATTGCATGCATCAACGATGCACATTTTTTCGCCACTGACCAACCTCTTCGAACCTAAACAGCCTCGGCAAGGAATATATAAACCCCCTCTACGTCCCTCTTTTTCAATCAGAATCAGACCAGTTCACTCTGAGTCATTCTGGAGATGGAAGGTGCCTTTTATAGCCTGCTGAGATGCAGAGCTGATAAGCAGACCTGTCTCATACAACGAGGACCGCTTCGCTAGTCATGTCCGTTGAGTTGTTTGGGCAATGACGCGTTTACCGCATGAGCCCTTTTCGGTCAAGAGACTCTCGCTATGACGCATTGAAAAAGATGTATGAGCCTGAGAATGTGCGACAGCTTCTGATTGGGCGTTTGAGCTGAGATTTGGTTCTCGGCGAGTTCAACACAGAGGCGAGTACGACCGCCTGCGCCAAGTGTCAGTAAGTCCGTGACTGTGCGTCCGGTTGACCGCCATGAGCTGAAAATGCCATGAGCCAAGAGCGAGTTTGGCCGGCTGAAATGCCTGAGCCTACTCCGTGTCTTGTGAGTTCTTGAGGACCACATGTGCAGCCGCCAGAGCAAAGAGCCAGACAGTGAAACATCTGCAGAGCCACCGACAGAGATTATCAAGGGTGAAACTCCTTTCGAGACTCCTTTCCCACAGGTGAAATTCCTGTTTACTCACAGGGTGAAACTCCTTTGTGAAGTCTCATAGGGTGAAATTCCTGTATGAGAAGCCGCCTAGAATCTGAAGAGCCAAGCTGAAATGCCAGAGCTGCCAGTTGTAGAGCAAAGATCTGGACAGACGCCATACATGGTCAAAAGAGCAAGCCAGAGCCAGAGCTATAAGCCAGAGCCAGTGCGACATGAGCCAGAGCTGATACGCCAGATACCACAGAGTCAGAGCGATAGCCAGAGCCACAGATGCCTGAGTGTGAGCCATAAGTCCAAAGAGCAAGAGCCACACAGGTCAGAGCCAGCGCTGAAATGCCAGAGCCAGAACCCATGCCACGAGCAAAGAGCCAGTAAGCCCTTCAAGGCAATAAGTGCCAAACGCCGTGAGAGCAACGTCAATGCCACTAAGTCCAGAGAGCAATAAGAGCCATTTCGCCTGAGCAAGAGCCAGTGAGTCCACAGATGCAATAAGCGCCAAACGCCAGAGCACAGACAGAGCCGAAGGAGCCAGGGCCATAGAGCCGAGGCCAGCCAGTTGCCAATAAGTCCAAAGAGCAATGAGAGCCTGAGCACGAGCCAAGTCACACTATTCAAGGAATAGGCGGTGAACCTCTTAGCCAGAGGACGTAACTGACCGAACCTGTTTATCTAGTTTTGAGAGGAGTAGGTGAAAATCCGAACCTCTTGGGTTAATAAATCATGGACCAAAGAGTCCCCCCGAATATTTGAGTTGTAGAGAGTTGAACAGTATTTGTAGTTGTAGAAGCTATTTTTTGTAGAGAACCATTGCTGAACCGCCTTGATCTCGTGATTATTCACCTTGTTGGAGTTGGAGAATGGTGTTATAGCCAGTACACAGTTGCACGTACACAGCGGAGAGGCCAAGTATTAGTAACGTTGAGGAAACTTAGCCTCGACAAATATCCGTGACTCCCTTTGGCAGAGAACAGGTGAGCAGACTGATCCCACGGAAGACTTCCTGTGCTATGGGAATGCTCTTATGGGCTTCGAGCACGACACCATTGGCCTCATGTTCATATATCCCCCTTAGAAGACCCCTGTGGCGCTCCCCAAGCAAGACGGCACAATATCGCTAATCATATTGTGCCAGGTGGTACGAAAGACTCCTAGAAAGAGGTCATGAAACAGCTACCGTTATGAACAGATGGAGGTGGCGATAGACAAAGATATACCTTTCGTTGAAGAATACGCCCACTTCGAATAGTCTTGGTCTCGCGATCACGGTCGGTGCAGTCTCAGCTGTCAGCTCCGACTCCACAGGTTTTGTCGGTCCCTCTGAAATTCACGGTAGATCCGAGTCCCCCGAATCGACTGATGACTTCTCTCCTGGCTCCGACATGGACGGTGAAGAGTAGTTCTACAAGTAGCCTGACGGACTTCGTAGGCTTGCCATCAGCACCTCTCTTTTCCGCAGGTACATCTGGTGCTGTCACTTGTCGTAATCCCATATCTTAGATCGTAGAAACTATTTTATGGCCCATTATGAGCTATACCTGTTCCTAGTCAGGCAAATAAGTAATCATCAAAGTTATACGTGACTTCTAAAAACTACTGATTATATTGTAGATGACGTTGCAATCCAGAAGGTACATGGGTTGACTACTCTGTGCTTCAACACCAATTCTTCGACTTATACATTGATGAAGCCCCCGTAAACCACGAAGTAGAGTCAGTTGAACTCTTCATGCCATATGGAATACGCTCTTACGACCATCTTGAGAACCACTAGAGCACGCCTGAGAATGTCTTGATATCTGTTATAATCTTATATTGAAGCAAGGTCGTTGAAAGCATCCCCTTTATTATCTGCACCTCCTAACAGCTTGGTTGAATGGAGGTGGGGGACCGGTGGAGGAATTAATGTACACGAGTCGCAGCCCTCGATCTATTCGGTTAGTATACAAGTAGAAGTGCTTTATTTTAACAATCGGATGGGTTCACTACAATCTGTTCATCATGAAGTACCAACCCCACAGTCACCAACCAGGAACCGTTCAACATTCTGACTGTGACCCATTACACCAGGATGTCAACAGGAAAAGGATGTTATCGATTAATAACCCCTTAAAATTCGCACAGAGCCTTTAGAAAAGCCTTTGTACTCCCATTACTTCATATTCTCGCTGTGAGATCAATACATTCTCGATGTTCATTGGTGAGTCCGCCATCCTCGGCAATCTCTGGTGGAGGCTATTGCGGTGATATTGCGCCTGTCCAAGTCCTTGTTTATCAAGAATCTGACATTTCCGGATCACCAGGTCGTCCAGACTTGACTCTAGATATGTACTCATACAAGGCAGGTTCACTCTGCCTCGATTACTGCTGCACCTTCCCGATCTGTTCCACGGTGTCTAAATAAGTAGCATTGACCATCATGCCACAGTAAACGAAGCTCGATTCATTGCAATCATCCAATGGCCTAAGACACCTACCGCCAGATTCCCGAGAATCAAGTGATACTGTGGGCCGCCTCGTATACACAGGGCAGAATGAGTCATGAAAAGCGTCGACGGGTGCGATGGGAAGGCCCAACTTTAAACCATTATTCATCGCGCGTCAGTA